TGTATTACTATTAACTGAACCTTTCCATAATTGAAAAAGATAATAACAGCATTGACTTGAAATGGTAAAATCAATTTATATTGCATATAAGCTCCGCAAGTCTTGAAAATTCACTCGGACTACATATTAAAGAGGAGTAGCCATGAAACGTCACATCGTTCCACTAAAGTCACTGGTCTGCAAAGGGTCATGTTGTGCATTTTCCTGTTAATTTCCAAAAATACAGCTGTCCATCTTTCACTGAACTAGAGAACGGTGGATCTGACAAGATCACATCAGGTTGGACTTGTCAGCTGTGTTTTATCAGAGCAAGAGGTTCCACTCACACTTTTATTATGTTGATGCTTTTCAATGAAATGTGTAATTCAGCGCAGTTTCCCAAACATGAACAAAACAGGTACGAATTTCTATGGGTAATCCTTGACTTACAACCAGTTGCTTAGCAACCGCTTGAAGTTATGATGGATCTCCCTGGGAGTACTTATGACTCAGTTACAAAGTTCCAAGCATTTACTATCGTTTCTCAGAAAAACTGGCTCATAACAAATCATGGGTTTGCTTCATGACTATGAGATGACCGGGGGGTGGAGGTGTGTGTGTACAAAATAAACACAGTCACAAAAACCCAGTGAAGCCCCTTTTATTCCTTCACTTTGCTTCTAAGCTCCAAATATCCTTGATCGAAGACAAAAAACTCCCACACAAACAGTTACAAGAAGGAGGGGAAAAACAACAATGGCAAGAGGGCTGGAGGACGCCCACAGATACCAGAGCACACACTGGGAAGGACGCCAAACTCAGAGAGGAACCATAAACTAGAGATATTTCCATGCTTCATTTCCAGTGCTTGCCCGTACACATGTCTGTCCTCTTATTCAGGTGTCGCAGCTGCAGCCCATGAAGAGGATCAAGGCCCTCTCCTCCCGAGTAGACCACGTCTCTCCCTTAGCCTCTCCTCCCTGCATGCCCTAGGGTGGAGAGGGGATGTGCCTGGGTCCTCCTCTGACTGCCCAGCCGGCCTCTGCCCTTCCTCAGCCTCCTCTACAACCTCCAGAGCTTACCCTCCCTGTCGGCTGTTCCTACTCTCCTTCAGAGTCAGTCTCCACCAGGGGCATGACAGACTGTTGCATTTGGCATTTCAATTTATGACCATGGAAGTCACATCACTACTGCTTCAAAGGAGGTTACAAAATCATGTCAGCCACATGGGTGACCCAATTTAAAACTGTCATAACTTACGACCGTAATGGGCAGATTCATTATGGTCATAAATGGAGGACTCTGGTGCCCAAAGAATCCATGAAGCTAGGGCCACAAATGCAAAAAACTCTTCTCACCTATCCATGTGCAGAGTGCATTATGCTATAGCAGCTTTCCCTATTTGATGCTGATTTAAAGGGTTAAGATTACAGTTTCAAAAATTTTGGACCAAACTGATGTGAAACTTTGGGAAGTCTAATTCTAACGAACTTGAATGTCTGATCAATATAATATTTACTCTACCAAACCAGAAGTAAACTGCATTGCAGGTCTTTTTTTTCCTAGCAACACCATAAAAAAAATCATTTCATTGGATTTTCACAAAGCAAGATCTTTTCTAATAAAACTGTAATTTTTTAATAAATTGTGCATTGTTGAACAAGCCACAATGACTTGCTTTCTACACAAAGCGAAGTCGTGAATGGTGACATGTAAATCTAGCTACAGTGCAATGAAAAATTTGGACTAAACTTGAAAGGTGAGCTGAACTTGGGAATGGACGAGTTAGCACAACAGAAGCCAGTTATCACTTGGTGAAAAGGGTTCAGGGTTTTTTAGTCTTGTCATCCTGCTTTTATTATTTTTATAAATAAAATAGGTCAAGGCAGCAAATATCCCTAATAAAGATAATCCTCAACTTATAACAGTTCATTTAGTGACTGTTCAAAGTTACGATGCTGAAAAAGTGACGTACGACTGTTTTCCACATTTATGACCACTGCATCATCCCCATGGTCACTGGATCATAATTCAAAGGCTTGGCAAATGACTCTTACTTATTGTTAGGGATACACCCTAGCAGAATGTGCACGGCAGTCAGGCAGGCAGGCAAAATATGTGAGATAAACGTTTTTGTAGCTTACACTCAGTAAAACAGATATACTGTGCTAGTTAAATAGTTTATTCCAGTAAGAGTTTTAGCATAGTCAAACAGTCCATATATCATTCACTAGTTCAGTCCATCCGGGGATTATTCAGTTGCAAAGTCCAGTGTCGAAAAAGAGGTCAGTAAACTTACAAATATCAGTCCAGTAATATATCTCCTCGCAGTAGAGATATGAAGAAGTCAAACCTCCTTTCTTCCTTCGACGTTCAAAAACTCAGCAGCAGGGAACACACAGTTAGCAAACCATCAATCCAGCAAACCAGCAGGCTCTCTTGCTCCCTCTTATGGCGGTTTCACAACCGTACCCAAAATTACATGCTTTGCAGTTTAAAGTGACACACACTTAAACTTACTATCATAGTTTATATATATTATTTTACCCAAACTACGTTAGGTAACCTTCTTATTCCTAACACTTATGACAGTTGCAGTGTTCTAGGGACATGCAATCACCATTTGTTACTTCCTGACAAATAAAGTCAGTGGGAAGCCAGATTCATTTAACAACCATATTGTTAACTGTTGTGATTCACTTAACAACTGTGGCAAGAAAGGTCATAAAATGGGGAAAATTAACAACTGTCTCACTTAGCAACAGACATTTTGGGCTCAACTGTGATCATAAGTTGAGGACTACCTGTAGTTCTTCCTCCTCCTATATTCCCCACAAGAACCCTGTGAGATGGTTTAGAGTGTGTGATGGGCCCAAAGTCACCCAGCCAGTTTTCATGGCTACAAAGGGACTAGAACTCACAGTCCCCTGGTTTCTAGCCTAGCGCCATAACCACTAGAGCAATGGTGGCTACCCTTTTTGGGCTCCTGTGCCAAAAATTGTGTACGCACTTGCACGCTTGTGCTCATGTGCCAGCACCCAGAAGGCAATGCGCCCCCCCCCACGTGCCCTGGGCATGCGTGCGCAGCCCCCACCCACCCAGTCACCCCCCTGCCACCTTACCTGCACTGCGTCTCACAGCTGATTTTCTGCCTGTTTTGAGGCCTTTTTTGGCCTCTCAGAGGCTTCAGAAAGGCTTCTGCAGGCTTTGCAGGCCGAAAACTAGCCCCGTTTCTTCACTTCTGGTATTTTCAGAAAAAAAGGAAATGACAAAACTGGCCTAGTTTTCGGCCTGCAAAGCCTGCAGAAGCCTTCCCTCAAGCCTTTGGGAGGCCAAAAAAGGCCTCAAACCAGCCGAAAATCAGCTGTGAGGAACGCACATGTGCAGTGAGGTAAGTTTGCCTGCAGCTCATGTGCCAGCACAAATGGCTCTGCATGCCATCTGTGTTCACCATCACGGCACTAGAGTCTAGACCAAACAAGTTTTAGCTTGAATAGCCCTGGGGTTGCATCCTATACTGTAGGTCTTGTTTCAGCAAGTGGAAGCACCTGAATCCCTTGCCTAGGGTTGCGAAAATATGGTTGATACTCTGATGGAGACCATCTAAAAACTGCAGGGGTGTAGGTTTCACTGAAAAATTGAATAATTCCCAAAGAAGGCAACAACAAACTACTTCTACTATATGTTGGTGTATTAAAAAAAAAACCTCTCTCTGTGAAGTCACCAGGAATAAATCTCGTCTTGAAGGAGACTTCTGACTTATTACTGCTTCCCGTTTAATGTGGAACCTCCATATTCGGCATCTGATATAGGATAAGTATCTATCTTGGGTTCATGGCAGACTGGATCAGCTGTTGTGCTAAAACAAATGTTGGCCTGAGTCCAGCATAAATGAGTACACTTAGTCATACTGAAATGAATAGGACTTAAATTGGACATAGACTACTTTTCTCAGATTTCAATGGCTGTTAAACTTACTAAGAATCTGCCTCTTAACCTCAGTGAACACTAAGCACTGCAACTTATTTGCAACATGGAGCGATTTTTCTATATACCAAGACTCCTCCGTAATAATAGCAAAAAGTAAGATGCTTATTCTGTTCACATTTGGTTCCAATTCTGTTCTCTTCTTAGCAAATACGTAGCTCAGAATACTGCTGTCTTTTATATTGTACCTTTTCTCTGAATTTTGCAAAGAAAATCCTGGCTTAAACTTCCATAAAAATAATATATAAACGAGGAAAAGATGCAGATAAGAATCTGATCAATATGAACAGGTACATACAAAAACGGTGTATGCAAAAAAAAAGTTCATTTTCATAATACCAAACCAAACCTTGCAAGCTACTGCAGAAATCATACAGGACAGACCTTACAACCGAATAAAAGCAAAGCAACTATGACCGTGGAGAAAACTTGGTACATTTATATTTGTCAGACACACATATATGCATATATGCAGCAATAAAATAGAATAAAATGCTACATCAGCTTCTCTACAAGTGAGTATTTTGCAAAGCTAAATTAGCTACTGAACTGTGCCTCCACTTTCTAATACTGCTATCTCTTGCTTTAAAAAAATTAATTTAAACTTATATCAAATTTTTTAAAAAAGATTAAAATTGCCTGCATTTTACATACTGCATTTGTGTGAACAAAACTGTCATGCTAAGCAAACTAATAAAATTAACCGTAATGAACTCATAACAATATGTAATTAATAGCTATTTCTGGAAAGTGCTGGGGTATCTTTAGGCTTCTACCAATTAGCTTAAACCTTACACTGTATAAATATTTTAAAAGTAGGCAAAGAAACTGGGGGGGGGGGGAGGGAATCTTCATATTTGTGAAAATATCAGTACATACAGTTCAAAATAAGGAAAGCCTTCTGCACCCTTCCTTCTTAGGCAAAGGAAAAGTAAACAACAATCTTCAACAAAAACACAGAAATGGGCAGATCCTTGATAGAGCAAGTAAAGCCAGCTATATCTGAGTGGCAAGTAAGATTTTTGTCCACTTACCTCCTGAAGAGCAACAGGTTCTAAACCCAGAACATGATGGATGGCAGTTGTTTCTGAACATCTAGAATTAGATACCCAGGAGGTAGATCAAGCTCTATTGGTAAATTTCTAAGCAATTTGCAGCAGATCACCAAAGATTTCTGACTCCCGTTAGATTAGAAACCGGGGTTTGTTTGTTTGTTTTAATAAAAGGACTCTGCCACAGATGACCATGTGCTGTTCATCACGTCAATTCACTGCTGCGGTATTCAACCGTTTTAGCATTTGGTATCAGAAACTGGGACATGTAGAACATCTGTAGTCTTGAATGCAGAAGCTGATGGAGGTTGTGTGTAGGATGTGATTGTCTCCATTCCCAAGTCACAGTTTTATACTTGTCTCTGGTTGATGGGTTTCTATTAAAACAACAACAACAACAACAACAAAGGTTCCCAGAAGCCTGAGACAACTCAGCCTAATACAGAAATCACATCTGGTCCTGATTTACAGTTTTCTTTTTCCCTCTAGCCTTTAAGGAGTGACAGACCTCATCTTGGCACCAGTTACATTCACAATGAACAATACATACTTTCTTTCCCTCATTTCGTTACTGGCTCAAGATGAGATAAGCCCGGAACAATGATGCACATTTGCTCAGCTGCTACTGAAAAATGTGTCCTTCGAGAAAGCTGAGCTGTGATGCTCAGCGCATTGTTTTTATACCACTGCTATAAATCTATAGACATTTCATCTGAGAAACAGATTTATTTTTTAAGCCAGCATCTAAAGGCTTACTCTGAGCAGTGCGGTGGCCTAGAAGTTGAGCCCTTGCCTCACAATTTGATCCTAGGTAAAGGCAGATATTTCTCTCTCTGGGCACAATGAGAATATATCTGCCGAACAAAGCTCCTCATTGGAGACGGGAAGGGCATCTGGTCAGTAAACACTCAGCTCTATTCAGTTGTCCAGACCAGTTGTTGCCAACCGGTGGGCCACGGCCCACAAGTGGTCCGTGACAAAAATTTGGTGGTCCACAGAGAAATGTCACCCCAGAGCACTCCCTAAAGCAATTAATCCAGGTGCGCGGGAACACAAGGCTGCTGAGCCATCCACATGGCCCGCAGGAACCCTCCCCACCCACTCACTCCTTACCTGGCAAACTTGCCTGCTAAATTGCTATTTTTCCTTCCCCCAACCATCAGCTGTTCTGTTGTGCCGGGAGATTTAGATTAGCTAGAAAGCAGGAAATGGTTGGATTTCTTGCTTTCTAGCTAATCTTTAGATCTTCAGCTCTGCTTTTAAGCAGAGCCGAACCTCCCTTAGGACTGAAGGTTCTATTATTCAGTGCAGACTCAAGTAGCCAATGGCAGAAACACAGATCTCTAAGTGAATCTATGATTCTATGAGCAACTCAATCTGCCTACCTGCTTTGCCTGATTTTGTGTAAAAGTTGCTCTTTTTTAATAAAAAATTCAATATTTACATACATGGTGTGTTGTGAGTTAATTTTGTGAGTTTGCAAATTTTATGAGTTTGCTTGCAAGCAAATTTTATGTGACAGACTGAGTTAGCCAAAGGAAGATAGATAGATTTCTGAATGAATCTGTGATTTTGTGAACAACTCATTCTGCCTGCCTGCTTTGCCTGATTCAGGGTAAAAGTTGTTCTTTTTTATAAAAAGTCAATATTTACATAAATATTAATAATATTTACATACAAGCCATGCCCAGCCAGTCACATGACCACCAAGCTACGCCCACAAATTAGGCCATGCCCAAGAACCGGTTAAGAGATTTGAAATGTAAGGGATTATGGGGTCGTTAAAAGAAGATGATGATCTAAAGCAGTGGTTGCCAACCAGTGGACTGGGGACCATTGGTGGTCTGTGAGAAAATTTTGGTGGTCCGCAGAGAAATGTCCCCCACCAAGCACTCCTCCCAAAGCAATTAATCCAGGTTGTGCGGGAACACAAGGCTGTGCCACCCACATGCCCCACCCACCCACTGGCCCCCACCCTTCGGCCGAGCGCAAACCTTGAGTAGAGCCACATGAGCTGGAACTGGAAGGTAAGACCAATGGCGGGAGAGGGAAATCTGCCCCAGGATGGCTTGCTAACATTGGTGGGAAAGTCGGTCCCATATTCCAGAGCTACAGTAGTCACAGGACTGGCTCTTTGGTCATCCCAGAGCAGCTCCTCCAGTCCATGGCAGGCTGGTGCACCCAGGTGGAGGAGCAGCTGCTCCGGGATGACCAAAGGACCAGTCCTGTGACTACTGCAGCTCTGGAATATGGGACTGAATTTCCCACCAACGTCAGCAAGCCACTGTCAGTCAAAATTCATATTAGTGGCCCGCGGGATTTAAAATTATGAGTTTGGTGGTCCCTGAGGTCCAAAAGGTTGGCAACCCCTGATCTAAAGGCTTATTCTATTCATGCTCAGTGTTAGTGAATCTAAGTCAGTGAGTTATTTTACGGCATTTAGAATTCATTCTACTCAAAGGAAGAAACCTGGGTGGTCAACAGAACAGGGATGCAAAATGTTTGAGAACTACAGATAGTCCTCAACTATCTGATAACCACAACTGATAACTATCCGATAACCACAACCGAGCCCCAAATTCCCACTGCTAAGTGAGACACGGTTAAGTGAGTTTTGCTCCATTTGGTGCTTAAGTGAATCTGGCTTCCCCATTGATTTTGCTTTTCGGAAGGTTGCCAAAGGGGATCACATGACCCCAGGACATATGAGCCAGTTGCCACACCTCTGAATTTTAATCACGTGACCACAGGGATGCTGCAAGGGTTGTTAAGTGTGAAACACGGTCATAAGTCCCCTTTTTCAATGCCACTGTCACTAAATGAATGATTGAAGACTACCTGTACATATTAACTTTTTCTCATTTGGCTTCACAACGCGAGTAGGAGATGAAATATAAGGGCAAACGAGCATGCGAGGTCAACTGATTCAAATGACAATTGTGGTACCATTGTCTAATAACTTGGGAAGCATTTGTCCAACGCATCCAACATGCTGAAAATCCCACAGGTCGCTATATGTCTACTAGCACGAAGAGGGCACCAAGCGAGCAGGGCCTGTTCCATCCCACACTGAACACAGCTGAAGCTTGTTGTTCAGTGCAGAAAAGCTGCTCTGGCTCCAGGATGCCTCCCTAGGCAGATGGGAGCCACCTGCTCCTCCTTCTGGAGGGTGGATTGGCCAGCCAAAGGTAGCAGGTACTTTGCTTCAATCTCAAAGAATACAGAGTTGGTCAGAAATAGGTCATTTCTGGGACTGGAAAAAATAAAGAAGCAAAGCTGGTCAGAGAAACGAGTACCTTCCCAAACATCCGTGAGAATGCAGGTGGTCCTTGACTGACGATCACAATTGAGCCCAAAACCTCCACTGCTAAGCAAGACAGTTGTTAAATGAGTTTTTGTTGTGACTCGGACAGTGAGGAGGTTGGGGAGGAGCATGGGCCAGTCCTGGGGAAAGGCTCTGAAGAGGGCTCTGCATCAGAGGCAGAGATGGAGCCAGGACTGTCTGACAGTTATCAGCTGCCTTCGGAGTCGGACATCAGTGGGGCAGAAGAACAGCTGGAGCCTGTTCCCAGTGTGCGCATAAGCAGAGCTGCCAGGAGAAGGGAACAGTTAAGGAACAAGGGTCGACTCGGGAGTAAAGGCTCAGGTGGACGGTGAATGGCCCCTCCCATAGGGAATAAAGAGGAACGAAAGGGGAGTGGGGTTTGCAGGAGACAATGAGTTCAATTCATTAGGGTGAAGATCTGTTCCTGACTTCTTGCCAAGTAATTGCTGCTACAGCGTGGGGCTTGGAAGATATCAGCCTGGCAACTCTCCAAGCCTGATAAAGGTCTGTAGTTGTGAAATCTCATGAAGGACTGTTTGCTGGGACTTTGCTGGAGAGGAACTCACTTAAACCTAAATAAAAGGGGTTTTATCGGGACGAGGAGTCTGCTTCATGATCTTGGAAAGCCTAGGTCAGAACAGTTTTGCCCTGTTTTACGACCTATTTTTCCACCGTTAAGCAAATCATCGTGAAGTGCATCTGGCTTCCCTCCCCCCTTCACTTTGCTTATTGGAAGCCTGCTGGGAAGATTGCAAAATGACGATCACGTGACTCCAGGACGGTGCAACTGTCATAAATACATGCCAGTTGCCAAGCACCTGAATTTTGATCATGTGACTGTAGGGATGCTGCAATGGTCAAAAGAGTAAAAACCGATCGTGAGTTATTTTTCCCCCCCAGCGCTGCTGTAACTCCGAACAGCCGCTAAACAAACGGTTGCAAGGACTAGCTGTAGATATCCCACCTCCCACAAGCTGTTCCAAATCCATATTCTAAGTAAAGGCTCTTCCTTCTTGAGCTTATTTCCCACCCTTGAGAAAGGGCTTCCGCGACTAAGGACCAAACAAATGGGGCTTCAAATAAATAAGTCATCCTTTCTGTAATTCCCAGCCTTCTCTTTACACACAATGCAAGATAAGGGCTGTGTTGCTTTCTAGCATACATAAAAATTGAGAGTCAATGAGCTATCCTCCACCCTAAGCTCACATTGAAAGCCTTGTGTTGTCCACCAGCCGCAGGGACCCCATCACACTACTAATTGCCCAAGGAAAAGAAGCACTGCAAAGAACTGCTATTTTCCTGCCTATCCTAGCAAATTAGATATCACGCCTCTGAAAAGCAGCCACTCATCAACTTCTTAATCACATCCCTACAAAGGAAAGCAAACAATCTGTTTCCAGTCCATATTAGGGTCCTGGCTCTGCACTTTTTAAGACCATTTGTATAAAAATTGACACATATACTGAAATGCACAATTTTAGAACAAGTTTTTTTTTTCTTCACGGAAAACACCAAGTCTAGGTTTTATTTATTAAAATTCACTTATTTACTTTAAAATGTATTTCATCGTAAGTTATGGGTGCCAAATGCATGCTGCTCTGCTTTTTGATTTGCAGAATTCTGAAACATGAAATTTTAATCTGCACATAAATCAAAGACTTGCAAAGCAGATACGTTTGCGTTGCAATTCATAAAGATGATAAAGCATTGCTATATATATATCAGCTTGC